ATGCAGAAAATTTAAATATGGTGATGTGTTCGTGCATCCCCCCCCCACCACCCTCCTTGGGCCAACTATGGTCTCAGGAACACTACTAGGCCGCAGCCTGGATTAATGGCACCTGGGCAGTTAGCTCCCTGTGAGCGTATCATAAACGCTGTCTGCTCCCAGAACGTCTGTTGTCTAACAAGCTCCAGTTTTCTAACAAATAGCCTTGAGACTTTCTTTTTCTGTCTGAACAAGTCACCAAGTGGAATAACATTTTTGTTATTGGACTCTTCGAGGAATATTCCGGTAACTACCAACTCGTATTGTGGCCAAGGATGGAAATTTACTGATGACTTCAGTCAATCATCTTATGCCCCTGTCTATAAACAGTGATACTGAGACCTTTGGAGCTCTCCTGGACTGCAGTGGGCTGTAACCAGCATCTCCCTCGGAGTGGGATGATTGTCAGAGCCAGCGAACTCTCAAGTTTGCGAGACTCTGAGGATTGCCAAGGAAAGCTGACAAACCTGGGCTACTACCCCCACCGCTCCTCAAGACTTAATCCTTTGCCCACTGACAGGAGGCAAACGCATCTGATGCGAGTATTTCACTGAACTAGAGGGGAATTTTTCTTAAGTATACCTTTGTACATACTTTATGTCTGTGTGCATGCATATCATGAATGTTGCCACTTTACATTTAAAATTAAGTTAAACTTAACGGTTAAGTTAGATTTATGGTTAAGTTACTGTCGCACTTAGAGAAAACATTAATGAAGCATTTTGCAATTGTTAAATTAATCAACTGGTTAATTACAACTACTCTTGTGTTGATTAGGCACTGTTATTATTAAGTGTTTTTAAATTGTTTTTACCTAAACCAATTATCCAGTCTGAGGCTAAGTTTGGCAAGGTGGCCCACTCTGATCCTTGTGACTCAATGGGACAGGCCCCATTATCTTTTTGCATCCCTTACTCTTTTCCGTCCTGCCCTTTTGTGTCCCTGGTCTCCACACAGAATCACTGTAGAACGCTTTTAATATCATTTTTCTTTATGTGCTTCATATAGTAAGTAATAGAGTGAATAGAGTTGCCATCAAACTTTGTTGCACTTTTGCAAACATATATTAAACCTGCTTTTGCTGATACCTTGCCAGCAATACTTCAAGTGACCTAAAAGATTCATTCACGGCATCCTTGTCTCTAAACCAAAGAGATGGATTTGATGGGTGGACCACTCGGTGGACAAGGAATTGGCTGGATGGTTGCACTCAACAGGCTGCAGTCAACAGTTCAATGTCCAACTAGAGACCAGTGACGAGTGGTGTTCCTCAGGGGCCAGTATTGGGACCAGCATTGTTCAACATCTTCATTGGTGACACAGACAGGGAGTGTCCCCTCAGCAAGTTCACTGACGACACCAAGCAGTGAGGTGCAGTTGACAGGCCAGAGAGAAGGGATGCCATCCAGAGGGACCTTGATTGGCTTGAGAGGTGGGCCTGTACAAACAGGCCAAGTGCAAGGTCCTGCATCTGGGACAGGATAATCCCAAGGACAAATACACGCTGGGTGGAGAATCGACTGACGACAGTTCTGGGGAGAAGGACTTGGGGGTGCTGGCGGACGAAAAGCTGGACATGTCTCAGCAATGTGCACTTGCAGCCCTGAAAACCAACCATGTCTTGAGGAGGTGATTCTCCCCCACTAAACCACTCTCATGAGATCCCAACTGGAATACTGCATCCAGTTCTGGGGCCCCCAACACAAGAAAGACATGGACCTATTGGAACGAGTCCAGGAGGGCATAAAGACAATCAGAGGGATGGAGAACCTCTCCTGTAAAGACAGGCTAAGAGAGCTGAGGCCTGGAGAAGGCTCCAAGCCTGGAGAAGGCTCCAAGGAGAGACCTTATAGAACCTTTCGGTACTCAAAGGGGCCCACGAGAAGGTTGGAGAGGGACTTTTTACAGGGGTGTGTAGTAACAGAGCAAGGGGAGAATGGCTTCAAACCAAAGGACGATAGGCTTAGATTAGATATTAGGAAGAAATTCTTTACTGTGAGAGTGGTGAGGCACTGGAACAGGTTGCCTAGAGAAGTTGTGGATGTCTCATCCCTGGAAACATTCAAGGCCAGGCTTATTTAAAGAGTATTAACCATTCATATGGCTTAGAAAGTTTTAGGAAGCTATTCAGGAAAAAAGTCTTATCTATCACAACACTGAATTGCTCCAAACAATAAGAGAGGCCACCACAAGTTTGTTTTATCGAAGGATCAGAGGCTTTGACCAGCACTTCAACAATGCTCAATTGATTTCCATTTATCATTCTACTATTTGAAAAGAAACAAAACTTACAAATAGCACCACTAGAAAATGAAGGAACCACTACATTAAGAATAATATTAAAAGAATCATTTGAATATAGTACATAGAAAGCCTCACCCCATCACCACCAAGTTCTATGAAGTTTTTTCTTTAGTGCTTCCAAATGAAGATAGCGTTTTAAAGGAAGTGTTTAAAAGTATATAACTGGCATAATATTGGTGCTCCTCGTGCCAGCTGATTTAAATACACAGAAGGCAAGTTCTTGTTCCAACACTCTTATTTTGTATACATCTTGGTGAGGGAAGATATTAATGGTTTTTTTCATCAGGCAGAAAGAAAACACAGATTAAGTTATCTGTGTGGACAAAACTTTCAAAGATTACAAGAACAAGGGTCAAATTGCCTCTCCTGTTCTTCCTTTTCAAATCTCAATGGTTTTGATTAAAAAACCAAAAGCACATAAAACTGTACTTGCACAGTTAAAGAGTCATTAATCTCCAGTAAAATTGTAGGATGCTAAGAATAATTAAATGCAGGTACAAAAATGCACTGGCTTTACTGATAAGAAAAATTATACCATGTACCATGGTATGTATGTTGAAAGATTCTACGGCTGAAAGAACATCAAGTGCTCCAAGACTGTAAAAAAAAAAAAAAAGCCGTTCTACAAATGAGAAAGATAACAGATTATGATTATTATGATTTCATTTCAGCAGTTGACACTATCCTGTGCCAGATGATTTGTACATTGGATGCACCACCTGCAAGACCTCAACTCACGTGTTCTGCTCTAAAGTTTCTGTTTCAAGTCCAAACGTTGCTTAGCCAACAGAAGTCTTGACAAAGTTATGGACTTAACAAGCATTTCAAGTTTGTATGGACTAGTTACTGATATGATCTGCTGGGAAATTACAGTCCTATTCTTCTGAGGCAGACATGGAGGAAAATACCTAACACAAATAAAATTATCTTGGTTATCATGTCTATCATATAACTGGTGCATATGATCTTCAAACCATAGGAAATGTATTACTTTGAAAAACAAATGAACGAGTGCAGCTGTTAGTTTGGACACTTAAAAGTCTATTCCACAGATTCTGGCTATTAAAACTTTTTCAGTAACATTAAGTGATCAGAAGTCAGCAACTGATCAGAAACTAAATGGCAAATGGTTTACAGAAGTGCAAATCTGTTATATTATTGGTGATAACTGAGAGAGAATCAGCACAGTCAGCCTCTTCTACCTTTCCTATTGTTGACCTGCTACCTTTTGTAATCCCAGACTCACTTCATACCTTATTTTAACTCTATCAGAATTTATTTGGAAACAGAAGTCAAGAATTAGAACGAGGATAAGCACATGGTGTTTTTCTGCCTACACCTCAAAAGGCTGAAAGGACAAAATTCAGGAGGCAATACATAGCATCTGTTAACAGAAAAGAATTAACTAAATAAAAAAATTAACTCCTACAAAAAACACCCAAAATGTCAAAAATGAAACATTCATCCTAGTGCAAAAATGTTTGGAAGAACTCTCTGTGTATATAGTATCTACTTAGTGCTTTCTAAAATCATCACATAATCATTTCATTTGCATATTTGCACCTTAGAATTCTATACTGAAATACTTTATGCTTTAAGGACATCTCAAATTATAAATACAAAGTGAAAAGCAGCATGAACTGTTGCCTCCTAACCAGGACACCGGTATACATGATTTTGCACATTTAAATCCATACGGACTCTTACCATTGATCTTTCAGGATATCCAAACAAATGGCCCCAGTGACTGAGCTAATATTAGGATGCCATATTTTGGTGATAAACCGCACCTAAAAACCAAGACAATTTAAAAAAGAAAAAAAAAGTTAATTAACTGCAGTATACTAAGGAAGCATTTTAAATCCACCATTTAAAATATATTATTAAAAAAATACTAATTTAGAAAATGCAAAGATAAAAACCCAAAAACCAAAGACATAACACTGCCTACTTCATGAGGCTTCAAGTTTGTAAAGCTGTTTCTTAGAGCTTTGCTTTACTCAAAACAGACTACTGCCCATTACAGCACACCAAACTCATCCCTAACTGCTTTCCCACACACTCTGATGTGTGCACACCCCTGCATCACACAAAGTCATTACAAATATCCTCTAGCAGTACCAGTGTTTTGACATAAGCAGATGGTCAAATATGGACTTAAAACTTCCAACTATTATAAGTGGATTTTCTAGATTTCAGAAAGTGAAATGTCCCTGGACTCTTAACATAGGAATTGGATCTCACTGTTCAGCTAAATTGTCGGTAGCTACAGAGGTATTACAAGAATTTTCTTGGTGGACGCTACTACTTCTACAGCCATCCAGTCTCATTACCCATATGCGGAAAACTTGACTAGATTACATATTTTTCTTTCCTGTTGAAGGGATCTAGTCTCAGCATTCATTCATTGATCATGTCCATATTTTTACACTAATGCGTATTCATGTTCACAAAGCATGAATAAAATCCAGGTTTTGGTTGGTTGGTTGGTTTTTTAAGACACTGAGAAAGGTAAAAACAGCATTTACTCTTAAAGGTCTTGGAACCCAAAGGTGTTCTCTGAAAGGATATACATGCCTTTGGAAATTCCTCCCTTCACATTCTTCAAACCCCTGATTTCAGGTTGCACTTTAACTGCCTTCTAGTGACTTTGACCTGTCCCTGTTTCTCATCTCTGCCTCCTCACCCCAAACTCCTGACAAACACTTTATGTATATAGCACAAATCTTTCAACTTTTGCCCCTGACCTGCAAGCAAATCAGTGAAAAGAACATGTTATCTGTCAGGCACTACAGCAGAAGACTGAACATACAGGGCTATATAAAATAAGTGCAACCCTGGTGTATAAATAGGCAAGACCATAACAGTTCTGCTTTCCAGGACAGAAATAAGCAATCATGTCAGCTGAGCCACTTATTAACTACCTCAACTCTCTAAATCACTTGCAAAATGTAAAAGCAATGTAAATACTGGGTAATTTCTCACAGTGAATGACAGCTAACAATGGCTGTCAAAGCATATACTGAACAAGCTAAAGAAATCTTTCAGATGAAAGGCAGGGCAAAAATGCCTCCAATTCAAGATTACAGACTCCAGAATAAGCAGTACTATGGTACAGGGCACAGAATTTCTAACAGCTGCCTATGAACTCCGGAAATGGAGACCACTAAGCCCTAAAGCAGCAATTAAATCATGGTCCATAGACTCATCTTTCAGTGTCTGCGACCCGTTTTAGCTCTCCTTATTTTATATTCACACCAGAACACATGCAGACGAAAGAGCTGAGACCTACAGACATTTCATTAAGACTTTTTGCGTCTTTCACTCCAGCCTCAAGGAAGTAATTCAAAGGACCTATGAGCTACCGGCACCTCTCTTCCTCCTCTTCCCCAGCTCCTTCCCAGTACTACATATCAGGATGAAAATAATCAGGATCTAGGACATGTTCTTAGTTCAAAGACATCTTTCAGACAAACAGAAAACCTATCAAAAGGTTGAGTCAGACAACTTAGGAAACTACTGATTAATAAGAAGCCACTGAAGAGAGGACTAAATCAGGGCACAGGAATGTACAGTTGCAGCTGCATATGGCTGGGGAGAACACTATTCAGGGTAGAATCATACATTTGAAGTTCTAAAAAGATACAGTAAAGTTAAAAGACCAATAACTTGTGAAAAATGTACGAGTGACTTTACCACAGCCATTTCTTGTCTCATCAATGTGCACAGATTATCCAGTCCTTTGACAGAGTTGCAGTAAGACCCATTACATTTCTCTGCTGGTTCTTCAAGACACTCAACTGTACACCTCTCTATTTCATTATTACTAGAAACTTGGTAGGTTACATTCAAGACTCTTAAGTCTAACTTACGAAGTCCAAGAAATTAAAAGAATCAATTTCTTCAACAATGCTTAAGGGGATGGAAGACTGCTGTACTCTCTACATCATGTAAACTATCTGAAAACTGTATTTATCTTGCCAAAAAGATACTACATTAGAATAAATAATAAGACACAAGCTTCTCCCTAGAATTTTGCCAGTTTGAACTGCAAATCAGAATAATCAGAGTGTACTTCTGATTGGATACAGTTATGCCTTTTGCATTAGTTCCACCTAAAGACAACAGTTACAATGCCTGTGTAGAGGAAAATAAAAAAAAAAAAGGAAGAGACTCCACATGCAACCAAGTAAATAAGGACACTCAAACTTGCTAGCCAAATTGTATTATCCAAAAACGTGTCTGTGTATCCAAAAACGTACCTTAGGGGGATTAAACGGATATGTTTCTGGAATTTTTATTTCTAGCTGATACCTTCCACCTGCAAAAGACAGGAACAAGTTAGAAATTAAACCACAAGAACATTACTGAAGCTTAGTCTTTCATGACAATAAAGCTTATACTTCTAAATGAACAGGTTATCAAGTAATTCCAATTTACCAGGAAGTGTTAGCTAGAAGATACATTTAAATTTTGTATCATTCATCCAGAAATACACATAAAATCAATCTAATAAAGCTGTAATTGCTTATGCAAATCAGAATCTATACTTCTTAGGTATATTTAATGTAATTTCCAATCCTGTAATTTCCATGCTTTATTTTAGTAGAATATACCAAAACATAAATCAAACATCCCCTAAACAAATAAAACAATAGGGCACAGGAACATTTAAGCTGAACATGGGATATTACATTATTTTGACTCTGTTCTGATACCCCATGTCAATAAATTTTCTTCAGATTACACAACTGAAATTAACTATGTCATTTTAAATGTTCTGGAACTCAAATACATTCAAATAAAGTATTTAAGAAAAGCTCTCACCCTTTGTGGAAAAAAAAAAAAGTAAAGGAGGCACCAATGTAACTTTCATTATGTTCTACATTACTGCTTGAAGTAGTTACTTCTATTCCAATTCTGCAAACACTTTGACACAGCAGTACTTAGAATATACTTTGCAGGACTACAGCATGCAATAAATAAGCTTGGCAGACAGAACCCCCTCCTACTGCCCAGTTTTAAACATTTCTATTTTTCTGTCCCTGTTACGTCTGTCTATTTCAATTATAGTTCTGTTGACATTCAAGCTCACTATCAATCCTTATGTCTTCTGGAGCAATCTCAAACTATCTCTGTCTGCCCAGTGAAGGCCATTCGCCAGGCAGCAGTTCAATGACAAAAAGAACAGGGTATAACAAAACATACACACTAATCTGAACATTTAGCTTTTATAAAAACTGAAAGCATTTCTCCTCATTTGCAATTTTTTCCTCATCCCGTTGTTGCTCTTTCTGAAAGAAACCTTTTCCCTCCTTCAGTATACTTTGTTACAATTTATAAACTTCCTTGAATTAAAGCTGAAGTATCTGCAACCTATTTGAGATTTCAAGAGTGATTTACTCTGCAAATCACTCTATACCAAACCAGCTCTGAAGTAGTCACAATACAGGCAGCAAGATACACATACAGGGAAAAAACCCTCAAAGCAATACTCTCAACAGTTATAGTCTATGGCATTTTTTTATCTGTGCCAAAATGCACATTAGTAGCTACTAACACCTCTCACTTTCAAAATGTATTTCAGTCTAATACACTCCTCCTGAAACTGGTTAATATCAGTTTGATATTTTACACTACCGTCTACAGCTGTTTATTCTCACTTCATACAATAACTTGAGAAGTTTTAACAGAAAATACAATAGAAGAAAGGCCAATAATTCCAAAATTATAATAGCCAATGTCTAAGTTGATAGCTAGTCTACTTATAGGACAGCACAAGCAAAATAGTTTTGGAGACACATACATCAACAATAAACCTTAAGTAAGTTTGTTTTTCCTTTTCTCTGAATTGAAGCATAATTCAGTAACAATTTTTTTCTAAGAAGCAAAACAATTATACTGTGCCTCGATTACAAAAATTCATCAATCCCTCTCTGATTTTATTGCCACACCATTTTGTGAGGTAACACTAAATCTGTCCTTAGGTATTACCATTTCTCCTGCTTACCACAGGGTATTACAGTCTAACAGGCTATTCAGCTACCAATACTTTTCACCTGGAATGTACAAGTCCGAAAGATTTTAAAACTGCTGGACTAATGAGCTGGTGGTATTATTTACACAGTATTGTGCAATGAAGTTTGCAGTTTAAAATATAGGCTTGAAGACTTAAAGTGAACAAATCTGGATTTAATTTCCTTAATACTACATTTAAAATGCAAGTGAATAACTTCTGCATGCCAATATTTTTGCAACTTTTTTTTAAAGGAGTATGCATTTGTAAGGCTTTTCTGCAGCTATTTAATGCCTGCAATTGAATTAAACAGTAATGGCAAAATATTCCTTCTGTAGTCCTACTGGAGCAGGTCTCACAATACAGTTGGAGCAATGTTTAGCTATTTTTCTTGAAGAAATACCCTATTATAAATTTTGCAGTTACTCTGGCTCACATGCAAGCTTGGCTTGAAATTCATACCATTGTTACAAAGGCTTTAAAAAAAAACAAACAAAAAACCCCCACCAAAACCCCAACCTATCGTTTGAAAAGCTCTTGAATCAAGTAAAATCCAGCAGCCATTAATCTACGCTTAGTCTTTCAAAGGTCCTCTCTCCAAAGACATATGTTTTAATGTGGGAGGTAAACACGTTTCAATGAAAATTATGTCTTGCAGTATTCTCATGATTATCAATATGAGTTGACACTATTACCAGGAAAATAAAAGCTGTCAATTTTGCCAACAATAGATGGAATTCTTCCTCTCAGTCATTCTTAACTAATGTCCCAACATCACCGATAACAGAATTTTGCAGCAGCAGTTTGTTTTCAGATACCTCACCAATTATGGTCAACAACAAGCACTACTATTCTCTCACTTTACAATGGTTCTAGAAATCCCTCCTGTATCGCAGAACTGTCTGACCTGAACCACTGCATTAATTAGTTCTTCTTCATAAAGCACTTCTTGCTGTGTCACTGTTCAGACTACAGATGACAAGAGATCAGCCTGTAATTATGCAGCATGCATTACTGCATTAGTCATAAAATGTAGACTACACACACTGGTATGCCCTTCATAATTACATAAGGGAATAAATGCATATAACTATATTACAGAAATATTAACATTCCAAAGTAAATTACTCAAGTGTCAGGAAACACCAGAAACTGGGCTGGTGGTAACCTTCATTTTGCTCCTTGATATGCCCTCTAGATTAAAGTAAGTATACAATCACATTATGTTTCCATGAGATCCCTGCCATAATCAGAATACAAAATAAGTTTAGCCCCCCAAAAGGGACATTTACTATATCCCCAAATGAAATGTACTCAAAGGTATGTATGCATACATCAACAAACTCTGCGCTAAACAGAGTTTCATTAGCAGGATATGCTGAATACGTGAATACACAGCCATCAGCTTTTGAAATTCTAGTCTACCTGAATCATTCAGCATCACACAGAACTCAGTTCTGCTAATAGGCATTTAAATCTTTTTTTACCCTCTTCATGAACTGCTATATCATTTTGCACCTCAGTGACACATGAATACATCTTTCCTTTCAAATAACTCTCAATATAATCTCCAGAAAAGGCCCATTTTATAAGCCAAGGTAATACTAACTTAGAAGGGGAAAAAAAATAACAAACCAGCTCACTTGAGAAGGATTAATTCTGTCTGAATGGAAAACAAACACTCAAACGCCCCAAAACAACACCCTTCTACCACCATTCAGATGTTTCCTAGTATCCAATTATTTAATTTTGCAATAACTTAACATCTGTATATAAGACTTGGTTTTACAAGACAAACCATATTGTTGCAAAACAGTAATTATTCTAAATCCTAAAGAATTATTCACTTCCAAATAGGTCACCAGCACTACTCTGTATTTCAGGTGAACAGCATGGTTCTCATTTTAAATTGAAGATCCATGTTATAAACAGAAGAAAATATCTTCTTTCCAGACATTATCTTCTGTCAACTATAGATCAGCAGCTGATGAGATGAAGACACATGGGGAAAAGGAGGGAGAGGGGAAAACCACCATTAGTTGCTAAACTGCTGGGGAACTCTGGGAATCAATTTCTGCAGGGCAGCACCCCTACCATTACAGATGCTTCTACTTTGCTACTCTTTTCCAGGCTCATTTCCCTTTTCCTCATCTTCTGACACCTTCTACCCCTGCCCAATATTCTTCCATGGCAACTTCTGTTAGGCTGTTTCCTCATTCTTTATCTGTCCTGGGCCTCAAAGGTAGAGGAGGGGTGGGTGGCACTGGGGAGACGCTCCCTGTGCTCAAGCCCAATGCTACTGCACCAGCTCCCAGCCCAGAGAAACAATCACAAAGGATGTTCTCCTTAGGGAAGACATAACAACTAGATTTTCATCAATAGTCACTCATGCTTTCGAGTGCATATACATCAACACCTAGAAAAAAATTTCAGGTATTTTCACCACTTGATGAGAATTTATCTGTCAAAATAATGACAAACAGCACATTTCTGGTCTCAGGAGAATACTAAAGTCCCACTCTTAACTCAAAGGCATGGAGGAACTAGAGTAACTGAAAAACTTGGAAAATTGTTTTAAATTCCAGCAAAATAATGTATTTGCCTGTAACATTCCTTTCAACTTTTTTTGTTGAAAGTTCAAATTCAAATCAAAGTAGATACCTGGCATGGTCTATCTGAGTAAAACAAGATTTTAAAGCTACCCAAAAGTGTAAGGATTTTTACTTTATTTTTTAGTTATCATCAAGGAACTTTAAATAGAAGGTGTGTCTGCCAGCTCCATATATATTACACAAAGTTTACAAGTACCAGCATCATTGAGTCATTTTGTATCCCTGACGAAGCTACATAAGCTCCTTTTAAAGCTTCTTTATGGAAGTTACTTTGCTTTTCGCAGACTGGAAGAGGTGCACAATTACTGATACCAGCTTTAATAAACAAGAAAGTCAATAAGGTAATTTTTGAAGACAGCTAAAGAGATGAAGTCCTACTATAGAGTCCTTGACTTCAGTATAAATTAAGTATTGGGACCCATGGATGCCCAAGATTAATCCCAAATTTAACTTGCAATGGCATCTCTGCTTGAGATAGGCAAATGCAACATTTATGAATGATCACCACATCACAGAAATACATGTACAGTCTGAAGCTCAGTTTCTGGATGCTTGATGGTTAAGAAGCTTAAACTGTCGAGACAGTAAACAAACAACTAAAAGGCAGAATTATACCAATTATACTGCACAGCTTATACCTGTAAATTAATCTTTGATATGGAATAGCCTATCCTACACTGTTGAACAGATCTCTCTTCAGGCAACACAGAAGCTGAACTGAAATACTTTTAAAGCTTAAAATCTGTTTAAAAAAAATCAGACTATTTTAAAACATGTATCTCTATATTTTATGCTGTAAATTAATTTTACAAACAAAGTATCTCAAGACACATGATTTGAAGTGTACAATAATTGCATACACAAAAGCATTACTTGCCTTCATATGGTGTATCCGGAGGTCCTGCTATTTCTCCTCTTAATTCTGTAAAATTTTCATCTACAAGATCTACTTTAATTTGATTTTTGCTGGTCTTAAAAATAAACAGAGAAACAAAGAATCATAAGTAAGCATTTGACATACAGATTTCCCCCAAAATATGGTATTAAAAATTTTCAGTAGTTTAAATAAGTAAGCATTAAAAAATATAGTAACCTAAAGTTAATAGCTATCTTCCAGCTAAAATTTTACTTCATTAAAAACAGACTACTTGTGAAGCATTACCATAATATTATTTATACTATCACTAGAATATGCAAAGCAATCCAGCAATATAATATCTCAAATTATATTTTTAATTTGACTACATTTTAAAAAGACCATGATCTTTCAAATCAGCTATTAATTCTACATATCTTAAACTATAAATTTAAATTGACCAAATTACATATTAGGTTTTTTTCTTGTTTAGACCAATTTAATTAGTAAGAGACGTGTTTGTCACTTTCAGTGGAATACGGAAAGACTTCCCCAAATGGAGTGGTATTTTTAACAATACAATGATCTAAACAAAATAGTGGTCTTGCTTAAGATCATGTTTATCTTTAATATTTAGGCGTAAGATATAATGTATTTATACACTTGAATTTCATTGTCACCTCCTCAACATTTTCACACCCCATATCAACTTGCCTACAAAATAAAAACACTATACTTTGATATTGAAGAAAACATATGTTTTCCAGAAATGGATTCTCAGAAGTGTTCAGCCAGAGCTACTCATTTCACTGAATTTGCTTTCCAGGTCCAGAGAGCAGTGTTAGTGAAATTCATACAAATCTTCCAGTCAGTATGTTTTTTTGGGGGGTTGCAAAGCAAAATCTCCTTCTAGAAAGATGTACCATCAGTAATTACAGGTTTTTCCATTCTGCTACTTCTGCACACTGTGTTCACTGACTGCAATACAGATTACCTGAATCCTGTGTTATTTTTTTCAAGAACTCTTAGCATCTTCCCAGGTCTTTTAAAATTGTTCCAACTTTTTCTACACCAAAAAGCCCTGTGCAGCTGTGCCTCTCTTCGCCCTCAGAGTAAACCTGGTTGCTGACAGCTATAGAGAAGAGTTAAGTCAGAGAAAGCTGATGGCTACCATCAACTGATTCTTGGATCTATCACAGATGTGAACCATTAAGGACACAGAATTCACTGGACAACAGTTGGGAAATTACCTCTGTTTCCTTTCTTCAAGTGTGCTATAGATTCAGCTCCCCCCCAAACAGAGAGAGTGCTCTTCTGACCAGATATGCTCACAGATTTAACAAAAAATCAAAGATTAGGTAAAAATTTCACCATGTAAAAAATTCTAATTAAAGGTTTCACTAAATTAATCCAATGGTGAATTGGGAGCTTTTGACATCTGTAGTTACATACGTTTGTCTTTAGAACTTGGGTAAAACCCCTTCAACCCACACAAATGAGGCAGCACCTGCAGCCCTCTCCAACAGCCAGGAACTGTAACAAACCTACTCTCTGAATCCAAACTCACACGGCATATGCTTCTTGCAAGCTTTCCAACATCCCTTCTCATTTTTTGCTCTCACTATTCCAACTGGCAGCTCATTCCACCACCTCACAATTTTTGAAAACTTTCTATAGTACCATTAGGTAAAGTTACAATCTATTTACGCCCACTTGTAATAGCATTGTTTCCCAGCTCCAACAAGTTTCTTTGTATCACTACTATTTATTCCCCTTGCAAAATATGTTATTTATACTGATTTTTCAGCCTTAAGTTTGCCTCTAAACAAGCTGAAATTTTAATCTCAGGCTGCTTTTTTAAAAATTTCTCCACTCTATGTCCCATGATCACCGAACCAGCCCTCCACAAACTAACTGAAAAGAAGTCTCAGAATCTGTGCCACAAGCACTCTGTTGAACTCACTGAAAATACAACACAAGCAGCATAACCTAAGAAAGATCGAATCTGCCTTTTTATACGACACGAGGCTCAGATAAGTGACAAGAGTCCCAGCAAGGGCTGCTGCCTAAGTTTTTGTCCTCTCCAGTGGCCACACTGTGCTTTCACACAGGGACTGCCCCCGTGCATGACCTCTTCATTCACAAAGCAGCACATTGGTTTAAATAACCAATACAGTTAATAAGTCACCAAAACTATCTGCGTGGGTACTGCAGTCACTCTATCTCCAACAGAGGTTCTGCTGCTCCCCCTCTGCCAGCTAGTAAGCTGTCAACATCACCTGGCAAGCTCCACACTGACAGCAGGAGTTCTTGTTCTTTGCAAGTAACTTTCCATTTCTAGGACTGTAGCAATAGCAAATGGGATGAATTTCAATGATACAATCTATGGTTAATCCATGCTGCAGCTTGCTCCATTTTCTACAGTAATTCTGGTTTTCTTCAGTGCCCCCCTGCACGCTGTTGTAGTAGCCTAGATATTTGCCTTCATATTCAATTTCAATTAGTACCACACTAGCTGTTTTTCACAACAAATCATTCCCAACTCAATAAATTTGTTAAAAATCAACCAAACACACCCCCTGTTGCTAAGCTCAATTTCTTTCAAGAGTCAGTGATCCTGGTTCCTCCCTTTGAGATGACTGTTTTTATTACTACAGCTGTAGCTGTCTCCATACCTTTATTTCTTTTGCACAGAACCTTAAGGAAAAACAGCAGGCTATATTACACTGTTCCAGTGCAAGGATTAATTTAATTTTGCATTCATACTTAAATGCTACCATGTCCTCCATATAACACATTCATTTTTATTTACATAGCTGAAGATCCTTTTTTCATGCTATTCTGATACTTTTCAATGTCCAGCTCAGCTTGACCTTGACAATTACTGCTTTATCCTTCACCCCTGGAGAAAGAGCACCAAAGGGATCGTTAATCAAATTAAATCTGGAATGCTGTCCTATAATATTTCCCTTTAATGAGTATCATATAGAATAAAATTACTTAATTTAAGCAGTTCTAACAGAATAAATCCCTGGCCTCCACATCTACCAACAGCAGAGTTCTTCAGAAGTTCTCTGACACCAATCATCTTCTCAAAGAATTTATGAATCAACTTGTGATCTCACATCCCAAGTTGATTTTCCAGAAGCAGTTCTACAAAGACCTCATTATACTTTCATACCAAGTCTAAAACAGTATCACCTCCTGTTAATTCAGTAACAATTTAGTGACTAAATCACTGGGCTAGCAATTCCTGAAATATTAGCCATGCCATTACTAGTCGCATTTATTTCCATAATTTCAAAGTTAAATTCTGTAACAATACAACACCCAAACATCCATCAGCAAAATCCTTTTCTAGAAGTCTATAAGTCCAACACTATTAGAATTTCCCATCACCACACCTGAAAATTATTTTGATCAAGACTGACCAAAAGAAAAAAACAAACCAAAGCAACCCCAAACAAAACAAACAAAAAAACTCCAACACACAGAGAAAGGAGCATTGATGCAACATACTATATAATGCATGATGCCATTCCCTAATTTTTTTTCTTCATATTCTAGATGGATTATGCATAGCCTTTTTTTCTTTTTAAATGCATCCCCTACTTCACACTAAGGTTCTAGTCAAAAGATTTGTTGTCTTGTAGACCAACCCAACTGCTGAGATTCTTTCTGCACTGCTGTAGGTAGTCACGCTTAACCAATTTTATTCTGCCTTGTGGAAACTAAACCCAAGCACAGAGATTAAACTAAAAGCACGATGCAGACAACTCGAGGAAGATTCACATTATGAACTTTCATCCATTATAAAAGCCTTATCTCTAAAAAGAAACTCAGAGGAATCAATCCCTCATGAAGCATCATTCTGTGAGCAACTTCCAAAGTTTGGACACTCAATCACATTTACCACAGTAGCCACTGATCGATAATATCTTGACTTGTCTTCACCTGCCTCCTCTTAAAAGAAAAAATCCAGAATTACACTGTAGTTTTATATTTGAGTATCTTCCTAGTACAGAACACACAACCCACTCCAGCAGAAACTTTAAAGAGTAAGTTCTGCCACTGTGAAGACTTCATCACACACCTCTTCACTTCTACTAAAATCCTTTTAGGGAACAGCTCTGTACCCTACTCTCAGCAGACAACAGGCTCTTCTGTTCTCTTTTTTCACCATAGTCTACAAGCCTTAACAAGGAGCACCCCATTTGAGGGCCTGTCTTCTTTCTGCAGTTAATCCAACCTTTTTCCTGGGCCTTCCATACCATCTCTTTCTCTGTTCTCCAACCTGCCTTTAAAAAACTCTTTCACTGATACGTTATTCATGGCCTATTATCCTCTACTTGTCCAGTACCTCTACTCTTAAAAATCCAAAGGTTTCCTTCATATAAGATAAAAGACAAAACCATATCAATACCACAGAAGCACATTAAGACAAGATATTTAAAACTGCATTGTTCTAAATTTTTATTTCCCCACATGCAAAATACAATTCACTATATTTATTAAAAGTAAAAGAAAATTATATATTCAAAGTTTCATCTTGAGATAAGTCTAGTTCTTGAAGACTGAAGGTAGAGGAAATTACTTTTTTTAGAAGTAGGAATTACAAAAGCATCAGAATTCTTTATGCTTTCTAAGAAATACTCCAAATTCTTCAGTTATTTTGATAAAGAGACTACCAGAGTTAACCTCAAGTAACCAGCATAAAAATGCCTGTTATCAGTGCTGGCAATGTACAGATAGATATTGGTAGGTTGAACTAAAAATGCAGGAATAAGTAGTTTTTAATTAATTTTTTTTAATTACATGGCCAGCAGTTTTGACATCTATGTTGAACCCTCTTGACTGGAAAGAAAAAAAATCCAAACCCAAACCCCAAATAAATCCCTCACGTTTCCATGTCAGCCATGGCTACCAAACATTATAAACTTAATACTGGATGATGACAACATACAATATAGTTTTGACTGAGGTTGTTCTAGAACCAATTAGCTCTACTTGTTCCCCCCATGACAATACCTTAACATTAGACCTTTAACCCTTGTATAATAAAATTACTCTAAAGAAATGTAAATACATCCATTAGCAAACACACTATGTTTTCAA